GATTGCCTGGCAAGCTTCAGTGTTGGTACCTCTTGCAAGAAGCGTGATAAGGAGGTGTGGAGCTGACTTCTTAAATTGCTTGATCAATTAATCAGTGAAAGTCCACTGTTGGATCTTTAAAAAAAAACTTAAATCTGCTGACAGATATAATTAACAGCTACTGCAATTAATGTTGACTCTAAATAAACCCAAGCAAATATTCATTACTTCATATCAAACTAGAAAATAATTTACAGGCTGTCAAATGGAATGGATGGCATGACATTTTGCAGTGGCGCTTCCTAATTTTGTATTAGAAATACCCGTTCCAGAGGTAAACCTTTCAACAAGAGGAGGTTGTTTAGTTGGAAAGAATATCTTAATCCTCATTTTACGACTTAAACCCCTCTACTTTTTTAATATACCAATAGTAACATCAACGCAGGGTCTCTTTTGAAGTTAGGTATGAGCTTTTCAAAAAGCTGGAGAGCAAATACACTGTGATTGCACTATAATGGTATAACACAAGCATGGGCAAACTTGGGCCCTCCATGTGTTTTAGACACCAACTCCCACAATTCCTAACAGTCTCAGGACTAAGCGGCTGAGGGGGGAAAGGAAAGGGCCTGAGGCTGTTAGGAATTGTGGGAGTTGGAGTCCAAAACACCTGGAAGGCTGAAACTTGACCATGCCTGATATAGATGGATGATATAACAGGTAGTGCAGCCCAGCAGTTTCCAGATGGAAACAGCAAAGTAAGGGCTTTATATTCATACATTTAATGGTTTGACCCTATGAACCTTTTTATGGAGATGGTGCTTTATGGGATTTGCATAATATGGTCTGAACAGCAGCATATTTGAACTGTTCTCTGAAAGGCATAGCTACATATTCTTAGGTCCCTTTCACCCAGCATTATTTACAACACCTAGATATGGTTTGAACCATCATGGCTTCATCCTACAGAATCCTGAGATTTGTAGTTTTGTGAAGAAAGCAACAGGAAACCCACCTCTGAACCAATCTTGTTTAGGTGCAAATGTCTTGAAGGCACCTGTCAAGAAGGAACTTCAGATTTTCTGCCAGAGTTCTAGTGCCTCACCAAACTGCAAAGGAGTTCTAGTGCCTCATCAAACTGCAAGGAGCCCCTAGTTGTGCAATGGGACTGCTGACCAAAAGATCGGTGGTCTGTATCCGGGGAACAGGATTCAGCTCCAGCTTCTCATGCAGGGACATGAGAGAGGTCTACCACAGGATGATAAATCAGTTGGGCCTTCCCTGGGCAATGTCCTTGCAGATGGTCAATGCTCTCACACCAGAAGCAACTTGCAGTTTCTCAAGTTGCTCCTGACACAAACAAACAAACAAACAAACCCCAAACTGCAAAACGCAGAAATGCATAGGATGTTGGTAGGACAATTAAAGAGTTTCTGTTAAGACAGGAAAAAGTGGCACATAAAGACGAAGGAGGAGGAGGAAGTGGAGAATGGAGAAGTGGCATCAAAGTATTCATTGGAATTTCAGTGTGAAACTTGAGATTCTGGCCTCAACAGTCTCATGAGGGAGTTGGCTCTTGAGGCATGAATGTACATTACTTTCAAATGTAGTCAGCCTGTTGTGACAGGATCCACTGTAATAATCAATCCTTTCGAAACACTGAGTAGATAACCACATTTCTATCTCTTTTCTTTGTAATATGTGGGTCCTCCAATGCATCAGTGTATAAAAAGTATTAATGAAAATTGCATTTGAATCTAATTCGATATCAACCTAGTATATTTTAAACCAAGGAAAGTGGTGGGCCAAGGTCATTTTGGCAGCTCCCAAGGCTTGGGTATTTTAACCTCAATGCCCACTTGGATCATTTGGGGACAATAAAAAGATTTAAAAGCCATGAAAAGAAGGAGGGTTGCAATGGGGCAAGGTGCTGGTGTGTATGTCCGTCCAAAACCCTACAGAGGGTCAAGGTGGCCTCCCAATTCCTAGCAAGTGCCCTCCTGTGGTTTAAACTGTGATTCCAGCTGTTGGGCGCTTTGGGTCCAACCTATCTTCGAGACCACATCTCCTTCTATGAATCAGTGTGGGCCCTGAGATCTGCTGGAGAGGCTCTTCTTTCGGTCCCACCACCGTCTCAGGTGTGACTGGTTTGGATGAGAGAGAGGACCTTCTTGGTGGTGGCTCCCCAGCTCTGGAATACCCTCCCTAGATAGCTTAGATTAGCCACAACTCTCCAAACCTTCCCATGCAGCACCTTGAATGCTTTTGTGAGCCGCTCCAAGTCCTTTCGGGGAGATGGGGTGGGGTACAAATAAAATTTTATCATTTATTTTTTATTATATTGAGGAGTATTATTATTATTATTATTATTATTATTATTATTATTATTATTATTTTGAGGACTATTTATATGTTAAGGGCCCCCTGCTGGCACACTGAGTTAAACAACTGAGCTGCTGAACTTGCTGACCGAAAGGTCGATGGTTTGAATCCGGGGTGCGGGGTGAGCTCACACTGTTAGTCCTGGCTTCTGCCAACCTAGCAGTTCAAAAACATTCATATGTGAGTAGATCAATAGGTACCGCTTCTGCAGGAAGGTAACAGCACTCCATGCAGTCATGCCGGCCACATGACCTTGGAGGTGTCTACGAATAATGCTGGCTCTTTGGCTTAGAAATGGAGATGAGAACCAAACCTCAGAGTCAGACATGACTAGACTTAATGTCAGGAGAAACTTTTATCTCTACTATTTATATGTTGTATTTTTCATCTATGTATTGTGTTATGTTATGAGTGTATACCTGCTAATATGTATTTGCCATGCATACATGTTATTATCATATGTTCTCAAGCGTTTGGGTTTAATATCTCTTTCTTTGTGTACTATTTGGAATGTCCTTGTTGGGGTCAAAGAAGATTATAAATAGTATCAGGAATAAGTCAATAAAGCTGTAGCATCTGCACTGTGGATTTCCCTTCCTAGAGATAATCCATTAGACTCAGTCAACCAGAATCTTTAAATGTTTGGTAGCTACAATCATACACCCACATACCACTTACCTGTGACAGACTTCTATTTGCACAAGCTTTCTCCTGTGCAGCTTCCAGATTGTTGAGTGTGTTATCTGTCTCTCAGAGTTACAATGGGTTTCCATTCTTACTGGTTTTAGGAAGGGGTGGCTCTTAAACTCCAGTTCTAAAACCTTGTTTCAATCAAAAGTGATTTCAGAAAGAATAAAATACATACGTAACTTCCTACAACTGCAGCCACAGAAGTACTTAATTTTGACTGCTTCATGTTTCGTCAAATCAAGGATACTGAGGGTCGAACTGCACTTTCCACATAAATCAATGGCTCTTCTTTCCTTGACTACCATTCATTGTAAGGCAACTAGAGGGGTGGTGTCTGCAAAGAGCAGAGAGTGTGGTAGCTATTTATGTAGTTACATTTCTCTGCCTTTTCTTTAGTGCGGTCACGATGATATGAATATCTCTTTGCCTCACCACTTTAGACTCACAATAAACCTGTGAGATAGCTTGAGCTGAGAATGCATTTGCCCAAGATCACCCAGTATATTTTGTAGTTCGTTGTGGTTTAAAATCCAGATCTCCCTAGTGTGAGTCTGTTTAGCCATTTCACCCCAGTTCCCACCCATTTTGACTCAAATTCCACCATCCCTATGCGGTTTTACTTCCAAGAGGTTAAAAAAGAGGTCACAGCTCCATTTTCCATATTGATGAAAAAGCACTAGGACAGAGAACAATTTGGGGAGGGTTTAATTGCATTCTTCCTCCAGAGCTCCCTGTCAGCCATCGCCACCCCCAGTGCCTTCAAAGTCCATCTTGCCCTTGGTTGCCTCCTCTTCCTTTTTTCTTCCATTTTCCTCAACATCATTCTCTTCTCCAAACTTTCCTGTCTTCTCATGATGTGGCCAGAGTACATCATCTTTGTCTCTAATATCCTTCCCTCTATTGAGCAGTTGGGCATTTGTTCCTGGACTATGGACTGGTTGGATCTTCTTGCAGTCCAAGGCACTCTCAGAGGTTTCCTTCAACACTACAGTTCAAAAGCTTCCATCTTCATTTGCTCAGCCTTCCTTATGGTCCAGCTCTCACATCCATAGGTTACTATGGGGAATACAATTGCTTTAACTATACGGATCTTCGTTGCCAGTGTGATGTCTCTACACTATTTTGTCGAGATTGGTCATCACTCTCCTCTGAAGTAAACTTCTTCTAATTTCCTGGCTGCAGTCTGTGTCTGCAGTAATCTTAGTGCCTAGAAATACAAAGTCTGTTAGTGCCTCCATGTTTTCTCCCTCTATTTTCCAGTTATTGATCAGTCCGGTTGCTATAATCTTGGGTTTTCTTATGTTTAACTGGAACCCAGCTTTCTCCCTTTCTTCTTTCACCTTATTTAGAAGGCTACTCCTCACTTTCAGCCATCAAAGTGGTATCATCTGTATATTTAAGGTTGTTAATTTTTCATCCAATAATTTTAATTCCAGCCTTGGTTTTATCAAACCCCACACATTGTATGATGTGTTCTGCATATAGGTTGAATAGGTAGGGTGAGCCATACTCCTTTCCCAATCTTGAACCAGTCTGTGGTTCTGTGGTCTGTTCTCACTGTTGTTACTTGGTTGTTATACAGATTCCTCAGGAGATCTATCCTTGCTTACTAGTAAATCTATTTGAGTTAGTAGTCATTGGGCTGGTAGGATGTTTGTCATATTTGGCTTAAGAATGGAGCACCGTTTTTTATTCATACCTGGAAAGTGATAACCAATTCTTCATTTTGAGGCATCTTCAAATCAACTCTGACTTATAGTATCCCACATGGCTTCCCCTGGTGAGATTGATATTCTCATTAGCCATTTCCTTTCTCACAGGCTAAAACAGTGTGACTTCCCCAAGTCATCTTTTGGGTTTCCACAGCCAAACAGGGATTTGAGTCAAACCACTGCACACACTGTCACCATGTAATCGGTTCTGCATGATAAAATTGGACATCATCCTGGAAATATGTATTACATCATTTTAATACATTTTTGACCAGTAGGCAGTTACCATTCATATCAATATCAATACATATTACTGTGTTTACCCACTGACTTTGGTGTATTTCTCTTCACTCATCAGCAGCAAGAGTTACCATCTCATGTTGATGTTTTTAGCTCCGATGTATTTTTTGGTATATGTGTGTAAACTTCTAAATGTATGTGTAACTTCTAAATGAAGTTTACAGGAGATATCTGTTTCTTGTGCCTGAGAATATTAGGCCTTGGGCACAATAACAGAAGAATCTGGTTCACAATAAACCTTTTAGAGAGAGGAAGTCCTAATGGATATCTCTCAGTTGCAAAGCAGAGAGATCCATCTCAAAATCGGTCATCACAGGCCCAGTGTAGTTTTTATCAATAACCCTCAGAAGGAAGAGAAATATGCCAATACCAAATGGTCTTGAAAATCAACCTTAGCATGCTTCATGTTTATCTTCCTATCAGTCTAAAGAAAGTTGTCAACATTCTGTCAAAATCTTTTAATAATCTATCAGACTCTAAAACAGGCATGGGCAAACTTGGGCCCTCCAGGTGTTTTGGACTTCAACTCCCACCATTCCTAACAGCCTCACGCCTCTTCCTTTTCCCCCTCAGCTGCTTAAGCGGCTGAGGGGGAAAAGGAAAGGGCCTGAGGCTGTTAGGAATGGTGGGAGTTGAAGTCCAAAACACCCAGAGGGCCTAAGTTTGCCCATGCCTGCTGTAAACCAAGGGTAGGAACTTGTATCTTCCAAATACTGTTGAACTATAATTTCCACCAAACTTCACATTGGCTATTCTGGATAGGGCTGGTGGTGGATGACGTCCAACCACAGTAAATGGCTGCATGTTCTCCACTCCTGTTCCAGGCCTAAGAGGGCCAAGACACAGAAGCTGGTGCTCTTTGTGTGCAAGAACAGACTTGATCAGCAGAGGTCTGATGCCTCTTCAGCAGGAAGTAGAGGGGACAGGCTTGAAAAGGCAACCTGGCCTTTACACTTCCTCCCACCCATGGTATCCACAGTTTGACAGACTTTTTGCTAAATTAAAAGTTTTACATAATCAGCACCAGTGTCATGAGAATAATTAAACTCAATCTTGGTTTCACGTGGATGGTTATGATAGCATTACTCATCATAAGGGTCAAGTCCTCAAGTGAAATTTTAGTTAGTGATACCAAGAAAGTTCTTTGACATGGGGAGAGAATACAATTTTGAGTCTTTAGGTGCTTAGCAATTTTCACAATGAGAATGGAATTGAGTTAACATGTTTCTAATTTCTGAAGTGATTTTGAATGTATGTGGTGTTCTGGAAATATTATTTTCAGTATTCATACAGGGACTTCCGAAACAAAATGTACATGTGACAAAGAAGCACAGCACCACCAGCACTATGTCACGAAGACAACAGGTAGAAAAAACCCAGGGGGTTGTTTCTATGTTGCTGGATGAAAATGCAGTCAAGTGGCAAACTATAACTAAAATGCATCTTTTTCAGTACTGCTGAGATACCTAGATTTGCATAACCTTTAGGTGGACTTTTTGCATGTAGTGATAATTCATGTACATCATGACTTTGGAGTTGATTCAGCATACAGTAGAGTCTTGCTTATCCAATCTTTGCTCATCCAACGTTGTGTATTATCCAATGCAGTCTGCCTCCTGCCTGGATCCACTGTTGTTTCAATACATTGTGATGTTTTGTTGCTAAATCCATAAATACAGTCATTACTACAGAACGTTACAGTGTATTGAACTGCTTTTTCTATCTATTTGTTGTAACACATCATGTTTTGGTGCTTAATTTGTAAAATCACAATGTAACCTGACTTTTAATAGGTTTTTCCTTAATCCCTCCTTATTGTCCAACATTTTCACTTATCCAACGTTCTGCTGACCTGTTTATGTTGAATAAGCGAGACTCTACTGCCCATTCCAAGTGCAGGCCAGCACAAGTTGCGTACATTTCAGAATGTATATTGTCATTCAGTCTTGGTGCACAACAAATAATTCACCACATGGCCAGTCTCACAAACATGAGCAATCGCTACCAAAAGATTTCTGCAAAAAGGGGATATCTCACGCTGAAAAAGAATGTTTACATGAATCATCCATCCCTTGGTGAATCACCAACAATATTAGATGCTGGGGTGAGAGAAACAACAAATATAAACACACCTCTTAGTTTTCCAGCATGCAAACTGGTCTTAGGACCAAGGATTAATGTAATGAATCATTGAGACTTAATTCACTGGGCGTGCTCCTGCTCATGTTTGTGAGACTGGCCATGAGGGATTTCACTTTGTAGGCATAATAGTCCCTTAAGTTGACCGAAGGAACCACTTTCATCCCATCCCCAAAATCACAACTCCTCATTGCACTTTCTAGCTGTTTTTGACGCCTATAAAAGTGAGAAAACTTGTTGAAGATGAGTGTGATTGGAAGGACTACGACCAGGATTCCAGCCAGGATGCAGGCCGAAGCTGTCAGCCTGCCTGCGGTGGTCACAGGGACAACATCCCCATAGCCAACTGTGGTCATGCTAACTGTAGCCCACCACCAGCAAGCCGGGATGGTCTCTAGGGCCCTGTTTTCTTCTTTTTCAATTGTGTAAGCCACTACAGAAAATATAGAGATTCCAACTGAGAGATACAGCAGGAGAAGCCCAACCTCTCTGTAGCTGTACTTGAGGGTGGCTCCCAGAGATCTAAGGCCTGTGGAGTGGCGGGCGAGTTTTAGGATGCGGAATATTCTCATCAGTCTCAGGACTTGTGCAACCCTACCCAAATTGGCTAAAGTAGGGCTGCTTTCCACCACTAGATTAACAATTAAAGTGATATAAAACGGGAGGATGGACACCAGGTCAATCAGATTGAGGGCATGCTTAAAGAACTTCAAGAGGTTTGGGGCTACAGCAAACCTTGCTACCAACTCAAAGGTGAACCATGCAATACCAAAATGTTCCACAATTTCAAAGCGAGGGTCTTCTTCCAAGTCCCCGTTCTTGTTAACAATCTGAAAGTCTGATAGGCTGTTGAGGCACATGGTTATGATGGATCCAAGAACCACCACGATGGAAAGGACACTGAAAATTCGGCTCAGAACAGAATAGCCAGGATTATCTAAAGCTAGCCACAGCTGCCGCCTAATCTTCCCGAAAGGCTGGTTGTCAAACTTGGCGGCATCATTGTAGAAAGCCAAGATCTCATCAAAGGAAGAGGTGGTGCTTTCTTGGTCACTGTTATCTTCCCACTTTTCTTGGTCTGGTTCCATTTTCCTCCCATGGTAGCTGTAACTGCAGCAAGAGTCAATAAAAAATTCATTGATTCCCCAATATTCAATCTCCTGGCTGAAGGAAAAGACACAAAGCTCACCCATCACATGCAGCTTCCCGGTGTTATAGAAATGGAGCACATAAGGGAAAAGTTCAGGGTTCCTGTCAAAGTAGAACTCATTCTTGGTGTCATCGTAGTCATCACAAAGCTCTAAAATCGACTCTTTCGAATGGCAGCTCAGCAGTTTACCCAGCCTCGTTTCAGGAAACCTCAACAACGTGTTGGATCTCATCTTTTTCTTGAAGCCACCAACATTGATGCTGATTTCATTGTCTTCCAAATCAGTCTCTGATAAATCCCTTAGGCTCAGCCTTGTCATGGTGAGCGACGCCTTCCAAATCTATATGGGGCACGGGGGGAGGAGACCTATGGAACGAGGAAAGGAGGCAGTCAGTGTTAACCAGGAGAGGGAAGAGTCTACATCTTCCCTGGCAACACATGCACATTATAGTCTATCTGGACCCAATACAGTCATGCACATCGCTTTGTACACCCCTTTCATCTGCTACGCTGCCAGATCCCTTCTGGGAAATGTAACTATTGTTCTAAAGTAGACAGATCCACCAAAAAATGACAAAGGAGCCCCTTGTATTTCCTTACCTTGCCTCACATTCCTTTGGCTGGAGCTGACACAATGCCACACATAGCGGTCGCCTGACACAGCCCTCTCCTTCCACAACTGGAAATAGGGCATGGGTGGTGGTCAGAAGGGCTCCCAAAAGGCGGGGGGGGGGGAGCACAGGTGGCATGCCAAGCCTGTGGCTCTGACAGTGGCCAATAATCCCTCTGCCCTTTCTTGCCACAGGTAGAAAGTCAGCCTCTCCCTCCGTCAGAACAAAGACCTTGCTGGAGCCTTCCCTTCCCGACCCAAATAAGCCCCCCGGTATTGAGGACCCCCCATCACTGGTTACCTGGAGAGCCTCTCTTGCTGCTCCGACCCACTCGAGGAGCGTGAAACTTCCCCGAGCTGCTCAACAGCATCCTTGGGGCGGGGTCCTTTCCTCCCGGCTTGGAGAGGAAGCTTTCTCGCTGGGAAGAGCCGGTGGCGGTCACACCCGGGGAGAAGGTGGCGATGCAGCCCCGGATTCTCCCCGCAAGAAGACCTTTCCTGGCTCGGCAGGGCTCAGCCTACACCCTTGCCTGGGAGGTGAGCCTCATGGGCGCCCCAATCGAGCCGGCGATGGTGCTGAAGGGACAGCTCCTCTCCAGCCGCGCCTCCCCACGCTCAGCTCCAGGCGGCTGCGGCAGACAGCCAGGCAAACACAGCAGTCATGGCGACCACCAGCAGCAGCCCCCCGCCCTGCCCAGGCAGGCAGGCAGGCGGGCAGGCAGGCAGCCCCTCCTCCTCCTCCTCGTCCTCTGCCGCCCCTCCTCCTTTGCCGCCCCTCAGGACGACGCCGCCTGAGGCTCCCCCTCCAGTTGTCGCCCAGAGACACCTGAGGCTCTCAGCCTCCAACCTGCCCTTGGGGAAGAGAGGGCGGGGATATCTTTGTTGAGATAGGTTAGGAGAGTATCTCTCCACCTTCCCTCATGTTGTGGTGACCCCCAACCATAACATTATTTTAATTGCTTCTTCATAACTGTAATTTTGCTACTGTTATGAACCGGCATGTAAATATGCAGGGTGTATTTTCATTCACTGAATCAAATTTGGCACAAATTTGAATACTGGGAGGGTTGGTGGGGGAGATTGATTTTGTCATTTGGGAGTTGTAGTTACTGGGATTTATAGTTGACCTACAATCAAAGAGTATTCTGAACCTCACCAACGATGGAATTGAACCCATCTTGGCAAACAGAACTCCCATGAACAACAGAAAATACTGGAAGGGTTTGGTGGGCATTGACCTTGAGTATTGGAGTTGTAGTTCACCTACATCTAGCACTGTGAACTCAAACAATGATGGATCTGAACCAAACCTAGCAGGAATACTCAATATGCCCAAATGTGAACACTAGTGGAGTTTGGGGAAAATAGACCTTGACATTTGGGAGTTGTAGTTGCTGGGATTTATAGTTCACCTACAATCAAAGAGCATTCTGAACTCCACCAATGATGCAACTGGACCAAACTTGGCACACAGAACTCCCATGACGAACAGAAAATACTGAAAGGGTTTGGTGGCCATTGACCTTGAGTTTTGGAGTTGTAGTTTACCTACATCTAGCACTGTGAACTCAAACAATGATGGATCTGAACCAAACCTAGCAGGAATACTCAATATGCCCAAATGTGAACACCAGTGGAGTTTGGGGAAAATAGACCTTGACATTTGGGAGTTGTAGTTGCTGGGATTTATAGTTCACCTACAATAAAAGAGCATTCTGAAATCCACGAATGATGGAATTGAACCAAACTTGGCACACAGAACTCCCATGACCATACTGGAATGGTTTGATGGGCATTGACTTTGAGTTTGGGAGTTGTAGTTCACCTACATCCAGAGAGCACTGTGGACTCAAACAATCATGGATCTGGACCAAACTTGGCACAAATACTCAATATGCCCAAATGTGAATACTAGTGGAGTTTGGGGGAAATAGACATTGATATTTGGGAGTTGTAGTTGCTGGGATTTATAGTTCACCTACACTCAAAGAACATTCTGAACCCCACAACGATAGAATTGGGCCAAACTTCCCACACAGAACCCCCATGAACAATGGAAAATACTGTGTTTTCTAATGGTATTTACTGACCCCTCTGACACCCCCTCATGACTCCGACCCCCAGGGATCCCAACCCCCAGGTTGAGAAACACTGAATTACCACAAAACCAACCTGGCACCAAATCCCCACCAGGCTAGGCAACACACAGCTCCCCCCAACATTCCCTTGCTCCTCTCCCTCATCAGGGCAACAACCAGGCTCCATTCTAGGTACAGCCCACCCTCTCCCACCTTTTCTTTCTACCCTCAGTCTCCCCAGTTCAGAGAAATCAAGCTGACCCATAGATTACTCAGGATCAAAGGCCTGTCTGAAGAGCCATGTTTTTAAACTCACCCGAAAGGCTTGAAGAGTGGGGGATAATCTCATTTCTTTAGGGAGGGCATTCCAGAGATGGGAAGCCACCACCAAGAAGGCCCTGTCTCTTGAGATGATGATGAGACCGAGAGAAGGGCATCCCCAGCAGATCTCAATGCCTGCACCAAATTACACAAGGAGATGTGGTCTCAAAGATAGGTTGGACCCAAAGCATATGGGGCTTTATAGGTAATCACTTTGAATTGGGCTCAGAAACTTGTCGGGGGCCAAAGAGATGCTTTAAAAGAGGTATGGTATGCTTCCTAAAGCTTGCTCCAGTTAATAATCTCTATCCTCTGTTTCCCCAGGAGAGCAAATAAATAGGATAAGCACTCACTTAATGTCTCCCCGCTCTCCCGTTCCTGGTTTTGTCTCTGCTTTGCCCACACCTTTTTCCTTGGGAAGTTGAAGTTTGCAAAGCATTTGACATGAGAGGAGGAGGTGAGATGCCTGCAATTGAAAGGGACTCTGGGAATGGCTCACTGGATTATTGATCCTTGGTCAGACAGAAATTGGTTTTGTTTCGTTGATCCAGTCCAGAGAAGAATCATTGCCTGCGGGCATTGATGAGCAGGAGGGATCAAGAGTACATGGCCCTTTTTCTCCCTTATATACACATGCCTTCATGAACACAGACGATGCGGCCAGCTGGCAAGGCTCAGGAAATGTTTGTGCAGATGACCTAAAAGAGTCTTCTTTCCCCACTTTGAGGCCGGTCATTCACAGATACCAAACTCCTGCTGCCCTTGAAACCTGCCTGGAACAGACATCACGTTAATACAGTCTAAGCCAACCTATGAGGATTCCAAGTCCAAAAACGGGCTCCCAGGCAATGCATTCCCACTGCAATCCAATGTGCCAAGAAGGTTCGTGGCCAGCTTCAGAAATGTGATCTTTTTTCACACATTCACCTATCTTTTGCCTCCAATCTGCTAATAAAATTTATGGGCAACAACACAAAAATGGACAAAGGTGGGGGGGGGGGAGGCAACTTCATACACCCCACAATTAGCTCCCAGTAGACATTCCTCTCCTTGGATGCCTGATGGGATGCCATGATTTTCTCAAATAGTGTGAAAGAAGTGTAGCTATGTCCTCAGCTCTTATCCATGTGAATGGTAATCAATATATAGCTGGATATCTCCTACAATACACCTCAGAGATTAAGATCATTGGGGAGGCCCTGCTCTCAAGCCCACAACTGCAGCTGGTGGGAACAAGAGACAGGGCCTTCTCAGTGGTGGCTCCCCGTCTGTGGAACGCCCTCCCTAATGAAATCAGATTAGCCCCCTCCCTTCTATCCTTTAGGAAAAACTTAAAACATGGTTGTGGGACCAAGCATTCGAGCAGCAGATGTACCAATAATAAAGAGAATCATTTATTTGACTGACAATGGACAGACGTGGATTATGAGTTAAACTTGTGTGATTTTGATTGTGTTTTATATTTGATATTTTAACTACTTGTTTTAAATGTAAACTGTTATTATAATTGTGTCTTTTTGGATATCCAATGGCTGCTGGTTATGATTCCCCCCTCCAGGGGTGAGAAAGATGGGATATAAATGTATGAAATAAATAAATAAATAAATAAATAAATAAATAAATAAATAAATAAATAAATAAATGAGATTGGGTGTTGGATCTTACTCTTAGTGTTTCCTTCCCCTCTTTCTCTTTCTTCTTACAGAGATATTCACTCATTCTCTCCCTCACATTACATGAAAAGTAGAGAACCTCTTTCTCTACCTCTTCAATGTCAATGCAGTCTTGGTGGTGGAAGGAGACACGCATTCGGTCAGGTGAAAGCAAAAGACCAGGACTAACACATACCACCAATCTGAACATATAAGCCACCCTTCTGTGGCTTCCCACAAAGCCACAGACGAAGCAACCAAAATATTTCATATTCAGCACAAAAAACAAACAAACCAGGAAGACATCAGATTATGATATTATGGGTGTGTCCATCTGGGAAAGTCCAGACTGGGTCCCAGATGAACTGGAGACATTGTAAGTACCTGAAATTTAATATAATGTCTAAAACACAATAAAAATAAAATTATCTTTTACATGGGTAACATTTACCCTTTTGGTCATCCTGTTGACCAGTGTCCCAGAATCCTTCTCTGCTGCTGCCACTCAGCCAGAACTTTGGTGTATCCAGTCAAGAGAAGGAGATCTTCCTACTTACACGGCATGCATGCAAGGGCTACTTTTCCTTGCGACCAAATATACTACTACTGGGATGACTGGTTTGAGGATGCCATAGTAGAGGGCAAGAAATGGCAAGGAGTATTATTATTATTATTATTATTATTATTATTATTGATACAAGAACACAATATGTCACAACAAACGAGATCTATATGCTGGATTTTGTATCACAGAATCACAAGTCGAACACTTCCCAAGCGTTTAGGACTGTGTGATGTATTTTCAAATGATGCGTGCAGGTCCAAGTAAGGTGGCCTTTTGCAGTTGACGGATCATGATTTTCACAATGTTTATGGTTTCCAAATGCCGGCTGAGGTCTTTTGGCATGGCAACCAGTGTGCTGATGACCACTGGGACCACTTGTACTGGTTTATGCCAGAGCGTTTGCAGTTCGATTTGATAATGGCTGAGCTTTTCCTGTTGTTTTTTGTCAATTTGGCTGTCACCTGGTATGGCAACATGAATAATCCAAACTTTTTTCTTTTCCACAATCATGATGTCTGGTGTATTGTGTTCCAAAACTTTGTCAGTCTGGATTCGAAAGTTGTTGTTGTTGTTGTTGTTGTTGTTATTATTATTATTATTATTTATACCCCGCATAATAATAATAACAACAACAACAACAACAACAACAACAACAACAACAACAACTTCTGAATCCAGACTGACAAAGTTTTGGTCAGTTTTGGAATTATTATTATTATTATTTATACCCGCTTTACCCCAAAGGAGAGTCAAAGTGACTCCAAAAGTGACTCAAAGGAGTATGACTGAAAAGATTTATGCAAAAGGCTGACAAGAATTTGTTACTAGATCATGTGATAAATGTGCCTTTTGGAAGAGGTTAGCCAAATTCATAGAGGAAAAGTCTATGAATGGCTATTCACAGAACCATTGCACCACATTCACAGCCTCAACTGTTTCAGATATATAACTGAGGCGCTACAGATTTTATCTCTTGTATGTTTCCAGGAGGCATTCGCTGGGCAACTGTTTACTAGTGCAAAGAGACTGCTACACTGTTGGACAAGCTCTTCCCCAATCTGGGGCCTTCTCAATGCCATATTGGAAGCGTAGAGGT